ATTTATATGTTGGAATTGTTTGACTCAAAAATGTAAATACAAATTCATCATGCGATTTAATAAAATCTTTTTGAGGGCACAGCATTCTTGGGCGATAAACTGTAGTTGGAAAGAGATTTGGGATGTTTTGAAACTGCAAAACTTTAAAAACAGAGAATTTTTGATCCACAAGTTTTATCTTTAAGGCAACGTTAGTGTTGGATTGTCTTGGTTTTGGATTATCTTTTCCAACTTGTGAATTGCTTTTGTTATTAATTCCAAAAATTTCGTATTTCAAAATTAATGTATAATGATATTTATCATTATACAATCTGAGTTTATTTGTTTTACAGCTGTGTTTTAATCCTTGTAGCAAATAATCAAGGAAGGTTAAAATATCTGGTAATCCCCATAAATTACAGCCGTCTAAAAATAATGGGATTGGTTTATGTGAGCTAAAATCTGGTGTTTTAACTGAATTGTAATTCAAAAATTTTCCTTCAATGACTAAGGGACGGAGAATGTCTGTTTCATTAGATAGAAATTTATACTCTGGTGTCAACCTAAATTTTTTTGACAATCGGCAAATAAAAGAAGAGGCATTTCATTAGATGCTATTTGTATTAAATTAATATTGTACTTTCGATTCACTTCGTCAATATGATCTGCAAAAACCGAGGCAAGTGAAGGAAGATTGTAAATCACACTATAATATAATAAATCAACTCCTGAACAGTTTCGTAAATCGCCAATAATTGAAAACATGCAATATTTAACAAGTGGTTCAATAACAGTTTCTCGTTCTCTTGAATTCAGTGTCAAAGTATAAATAGAATCATATTTTTCGATACTGAATGATTGGTTTTCAAAAACAGCGAGATTCTGATATTCCGACATTGTTAACAATTGATTACTAATCTTGTAAATTTCCAATATTTTGTCTATGCAGTGAGGAGATTCTACAATGTAAGCAAAATCTAAAGCGCTAAACATTGTTGCTTTAAATATATTACCACATTCTTTATGCTTCAATGAAAAGTTTATGATTTTATTTTTTGGAAAAGAGCTGAGTTCAATTTCATCATCGAAAAAATAGCCTTCATAATTTGAAGTTCGTTAAAAGTTAATTTCATCGCTCCATCAAATATCCACGAAATGATTTCTCTAAAATGCAATTTAACCTTTTCTGTTGTTAGTTCACCATTGCAATTATACATACATGATTTGAATAAAGACTTGGATCTTTTGTCTAGATCTCTTTGAGGATATAAATTCACTACATTTTGCATTTTTGAGTAACATTTCATGATATTCAAAAAATATTTAGGTTTTCTAAATGTGTAACTGACAAATATAGATGACAATAAATCTAATATTTCGTAGTTCGTGCAAAACTCACGTATTAATTGATTAATATCACAACGACTAATTAATAGAAAAACCTCTTTTTCAAAGTAATTAAATTTATCAAATCGATCATGATCAGAATTATTGTATTGACTGGATGAGAATTTCCTATCGAGTTGAATATAAATTTGATTCTCACAAATAAGATTTGATTTGAAGCTAATTCTGTTCAGATTATTCATTTCTTTTAATATTAAAAAATTTGAGATTTGATTGCTATTTACATTTAGCTCAATTAAGTTGCTAAGATCAGTAAAATTGATTGGAAATTCCTTAATCATATTTTGACTGACATCAAGTTTTTTTGGATTTTGAAACAATGTAATGTCAGGAAAACATGTAAGGCAGCAGTTTGAAACATAAAGTTCCTCCAATGATTCAAATTTTTGAGCTTCCGTCCATATTAATTTGGTATGACTGAGATTTAAAACTTTAATATTTGTCATATGAGAAAGATTTTTCATCGATATTGTCAAATTATTGAATGATAAATCTAGATAACAGATGTTAGTTGCACATTGAATAAAGTTTAAATCTGTTAAAATGTTACTTGATAAATCCAAGTAAACTGTATTTGAGAAATTACAGTTGTGAATTGTTTCGATCATATTGTGGGCTAAATTTACATAAGCCAACGATTGCAAATCTTTAAGATTTTTAATATTGCAATTATTTAATGTTAATAAGGATAAGTTTTTGAAAAAAGATAAATCAAAATTGATAGAAACATTTTCTAAGTTAATTGCATTTATGGTATCAGGATGATATTTATAAAAATCTTCATATTTTGAAATTTGAAAAAAGTGAGAATCATTTACCAGTTGAATTATTTGATCTGAAAATATAGTACAAATATCATCATATAATTCCTTATCATTTGCCAATATGGAATTAAAGATGATAGTTTGGAAAGAGTCATTAGAAAGTACGTCAGAAGCTTCATTATTATAGATCTTCTGAAAGAATTGTATATTATTGTTATTAAAAAGAAAATCGAAATCGGTTTTAAAAGAAGATGGCTTGAGATATGACATGGCAATATGATTTTGATGATATTTTATTGACAGTTTTAGCAAATCATTCAATTCAAATTTAATTGTGAATAATTCGTTAATATAATCAACAATATCTGCATTACCTCCTAAGATTGCTTTTTCTAATGTTGAATCTGTCGGTTAACACAGATTTAATGAGATCATGTGAAAAAATTTAGTGGCATCTCCGATAGCCGCAAAATTATTCAAAATTGGTAAACATATGGATTGATTGGGTGTAAGTGGAATTGGTTCTTCCTTGTAATCTTTCTGATATTGCTCAAGTTTTTTGGAAAAACCGTTGAAATGATTCTGGAAGGTGTTAGATAATAATTCAACTAATTTGTAATATAATTTTTGCCGTGTAAACCGAGTACAAAAGGATTTTTTGATGGTGGATTTGCAATACCTCATATAGTAATCATTATTTCTAATAATACTGATTAGATGTTCAGAGGATTCAAGAAGAGTTTCATCATTAAGATCCCATATTAAACCTTCAACTTGTGAAAGTGTAGAGATGAATTCATCGAATTTCATATGATTAATGATTTTTTTTTGATCGTCTTGGATAAAAGTATATTTTGAGAAGTTTACATTGTAAATGTATTCCATAGACACCAATGAGATGCGGAGGCAATGTTTCAGAGAATGACACATAGCGTACAGCAAATGTGCACATTACACTCTTTTCGGAAAAACCTCTTCAATCTTAATGCCTACCAGAATGGCAACTACAAGTGAGGCAAACGAGCATAGGGTACTCTTATCGGTAAAATGTTTCGAAATCAAATAAGATTGCGGAACAATTTAATTCTGGTGAAAGGCACAACCACTCTCTACCAAAATGTTTAAACCATATATTCGAGATTTATTCGAATTTCTAATTTTTCGCTATAAGTCATAAAACTTAAGGCAAACCCAAATTTTAGCTAAAAGTGACAGGGGAAAAAAACTGTTGTAAACAGAAATTCATCAAAAGTGACACCTCAGAAAAGCTAAAATATTGAATTTTTGGAACTTTTGATAGAGCACGTTTTTAAATATTAATTAAAGTAAATGTATATTTTGTAAAGATTCTTTTTAATAAAAAAAAATAAAATTTTGAAGAAGAACACAAAATCTTCTGAAAAATAATATCACATAAACTCATATTATTTTCTAATATATAACTATTTTATATAAAAATCAAATTCAATGATCTTAAAAGCGAAGGATAAACCTCAAAATTTACGAATATAATGAGTGGGAATATAATGCTTATCTATCATAAAACCATATGAAATATCAATTTTTTTGACCATGCTTTGAGACGAAAAACATGCAAAAAAACGAAAGATGCGCGGTTGAGCCTGCATCGGTAGTGGTGCATGGGTTGATATGTGTTGCGCCTCAATTTTGAGATTTTGTCAAAAGATGAATCAAATTAAGAAAGAATTATAAGATAAGAAAGGAGATATAATGTGATTTAAGTTATATGAATATTTATAAGATAGTATATAATTTAGATTAGAAGAAATATGATAAAAAATTTAGAATTATTTAAGATGTAAGGAAGTTTCTCGACAGAGGCAACTTTCATATCGAATGTTGCCTCTGTCGAGATGTATGTGACAGGCAAAGTGCAATCACCTATCAATATTGCACTTTGCCTGTCAAAAGTTCTTCGCATCTCTTGAGGTGTGAGGAAGTTTCTCGGCAGAGGCAACTTTCATATCGAATGTTGCCTCTGTCGAGATGTATGTGAACGTCTGTTCTTTTTATAATTTCTTATATTATTTGAAATTGTAAGATATGAGTTAATCATTATTAATTTTTAAACCTTGAATTTAAGATCTCAAGATTTACTATCTATTTTATTTATTATATAATTAGACTAAATTAAAGTGTGAATTCTGAATAATCGTTCTACGAAGAGCGATTCAGAGTGCTACTATTCTCTGACTAAGCTAGTGACTTACGGCTGTCTTTAGCATAGTGAGTAAAGTAGAATAGGCTCGGCTTAAATTTTGAATAATCGTTCTACGAAGAGCGATTCAGAGTGCTACTATTCTCTGACTAAGCTGGTGACTTACGGCTGTCTTTAGCATAGTGAGTAAAGTAGAATAGGCTCGGCTTAAATTCTGAATAATCGTTCTACGAAGAGCGATTCAGAGTGCTACTATTCTCTGACTAAGCTAGTGACTTACGGCTGTCTTTAGCATAGTGAGTAAAGTAGAATAGGCTCGGCTTAAATTTTGAATAATCGTTCTACGAAGAGCGATTCAGAGTGCTACTATTCTCTGACTAAGCTGGTGACTTACGGCTGTCTTTAGCATAGTGAGTAAAGTAGAAACTAATCCTAATCATTAAAATAATGAATAAACCGTTTTTTCGGTTGGCGGGAAATTTTGAAAGGAATATAAAAATAATTTGGCGGGGAATAAATGTTGGGTTTTAAACTAATAAGTAATAACAACCAATATGTATAGACTTTATATATTATGTTTTTTAGATAATTAAGCATTTTTGTGCAACTTGTCCACAAAAGTGAGCCAGCCTAAATTATCGATAAAAAGTGAGTAACCTTAAATTCAGGAGATGGAGCAAACTCATTCCGTGCTGCTTCTCCTTAATTTCCTTAACTATGCAATGATAATCCTCCCTGCAATTAGTCTCATAGTTGTTTATAGCTTTATTTTTTCCCATTGGTCCTCAAGAACTGTAACAATTCCATTCTTTTCCGACTTAGATCCAGCAAGCCCAGAATCACGCTTTAGTACAGCAATAATGTCAATCGAACTTATCATTATTACTATTATTTTATATTGTCGTCATAGTGTTATGGAAATATTGTTCAAAACAGAAAAACGATTCGAAAAGCGTTTTAAGTTGGTATATTTAGCAATGAGAATTATCAATTACTTCCAACTTTCTGGAAATTTAATGGTGATTGTATTTAATTACGGATTAAACCCAATTGCGCATAACATTGGAATGCTTTTCATGTATTTAGGCTATGCAATTTACTTATTCATATACGATATTGCTGTCAAAGCTCTTGGAAAACCTTCAAGAGATTTTTCAAAGATTGTTTCAGCAGTATTAATGGTTATTACGCCACCATTTATTTTCATTCGATTTGTTTACCCAGCATATGCTGATATGATAATTTATTCAATATCTTCAGTTTTAGGTCTGATAACATATGTTTGTCTCTATCTCAAACTGTTTGTATGTAAGTTTGATTTACCAGAATTCGGAATCCGTGTTACAAAAAAGATTCCTTTCAATAATTAATTATTTTGTTAAAAAAATTCTATCCTAAATGCCATGAATATGCATTATTACGAAGTCTAAGCTTTTTATATAACATGAATTATCCAAAACACCCTATTTGAATGAAAATTGAAAAAATCTCTGTGATTATTCGGATTGAAGGGAATCTATTCCACGTAAGTGTTTATCTTCAATCCTGAAATTAGAACTAAGATACTGAAAACAAGTAGTATCTTCAAAATATTATTTTGATAATCTGTTTATCGAAAAAGAGTAAATTGAGCGATTCACGTATACGATGGATTAGATAAAACCGGCTACTTTTCAAAAGTTCATTTTGAATAAATTTAAAATTCCAAAATAAATTTGGTTGATTCATGGATTCACGGTTCTAATGTATTAAAAGCAGTATGAGTATGTAAAAATCAATAGTGTTTAAACTAGAAATACCGATATTTTATTTTAGAATCCTGGCCATTCCTTCATAGCCTGAACGAGAGCGTCAACAGCCTCCATTGGGCAAGCGTTGTAGCAAGAAGCACGGAAACCGCCAACAGACTGGTGTCCCTTGAGTGTAAGGAGCTTTCTCTGTGTGCAGAAATTGACGAACTTGAGGTCAGCCTCAATATTCTTGTTCTCGTAGCCGTCTGGGCGGAAGAATGGCATGTTCATGCGGGAGCGCCACTCTGGTTTGATACGGTTGACGAAGTTTGGATTTGAATCGATAGCTTCGTAGACCTTCTTAGCCTTTTCCTTGCTGAAAGCATCCATAGCGGCTACGCCACCCTTCTCCTCGATCCACTTGAAGACATGGTTAGCGAAGTAGATTGCGAATGTTGGTGGTGTGTTGTACATGCAGTCGTTCTTAACTTGGATTCTGTAATCCATTGTAATTGGGCAGAATGGCTTGACTGGGCGTTCGAGCATGTCCTTGCGGATGATGACAACACTCATGCCAGAGAGACCGAAGTTCTTTTGAGCGCAAGCGAAAATGCAGCCGACCTTTTCCCACTGTGTGATTGGGCGGGAAAGGAAGTTGGATGACATATCGATAACAAGTGGAGCTGGGACATCTGGGAATGATGGGAACTCAATGCCTTGGATTGTCTCGTTATCGCAATAGTAGAAGTAAGCAGCATCAGCAGAAACATCCCATGTATCGCGGGCTGGAACCTCAATTGGATTGGCTGGTGGATTTCCGGCAACAGAACGGACTTCAACGCCTGGGAAGCCAAGGCGCTTAGCTTCGTCGAAAGCCTTCTTTGACCATGTGCCTGTGCAGAGGTAGTCAACACGCTTGTGGTCACCGATGAAGTTGAATGGAATGGCAGAGAATTGGAGGGAAGAACCGCCTGCAACGAAGAGAATATGGAAGTTCTCTGGAACCTGAAGGAGGGAGCGAAGACGTTCGCCGGCTTCCTTTTGCTCTTCCATCCAGTGCTTTCCACGATGGGAAACTTCGATAACTGACATGCCAGAGTTACGCCAGTTTGTCATTTCAGCAGCAGCGCGCTCGAGGCACTCAAGTGGAACTGCAGCTGGACCAGCAGAGAAGTTATATACACGACCAGATGACATCTAGACGAAAAGTGATGTGAATAGTTTCGATAAGAAATTTCTGAGAATCTAAAACGATGAAAAAAATTCACTTTCATTGGTTTGGACGAAAATAAATTTCATTGTGCAGTAAACATAAATGTCATGAAAATTTTGCAAAAAGTGAAGTTTTTTCATTTCATCTCACCGAGATCATGATAACCACAATACCCGATTTTTCATTTAATGATCTGTTTTTAATTGTATTTCAGCATTTTAGAATTTTGAAAAACCTTTCAATTTTTAGCATTTTTTCCAAGGAAAGAATTAAAGCAGAGTAATAAAAACTTAAAAATTCAGATGAAATATTCGGAATTCAATAGATTTTAATAGAAAATCTTCTTTATAAGGATATATTACTTGATTGAAATAACTAGTTTTTATGATAATTAAATTTGGCCAAACGTCAAATGAAAAAATTCTATGGTGATTCAATTTCATGTCAAACACTTGATTTTCCTCCCAAAACCCTTCCCAATTTGGGTGGCACGTTTCTGATCGGAGTTCTCGAATTTCGGTAAGCCAAATAAGGCACAATTTCGTTCTATCTACCTAGATTGAGTGTTTTTGTTTGGTTTTTGATCTTTAATATGAAAGTATGTGATTATTCATTTCAGAGTATCGAAACCATTTGAAAGAGAATTCTTTTGAAATTTGAAATTTTGAACGTCACCATTTGTCTGTCTGTAGCCAATGTGTATGGAATATACAATTAGAGACTTTTGTAAAAACGAGCATCTAAAATATATAAGAATGAGTTTTATTAAAAATCCAAAATTGGATAAAATTGATTTTTACAAATGTGTCATCAATATCAGTACAGAATGTCAGTTTTATTATTCAATATAAAGATGTTTGTTGATCCTGATTTTTCTTATAAATTTTTTAAAAAAGTTGATTTGCAGTATTAAATATGCATATTAATGGAGTATATTTGTTGGATATATCGGTGTTTTAAACGAATTAAACAAAGTTGGAATTATTTGGTCCAAAAACAATATTAATAATGTTAATGGATTTTTAGTTTATAAATATTAGTAAGTACCGATAGTACTTGAATTTAAGCTTTGCCACAATTTAAAGTGGCTGAAGTATTGCTCTTGCTGGTGAAGCATCACATGATTTGATTCTTAAAGGGAGACAAATTAAATTATAGTCACCAGGGTTAACATGTGACAAGTCAATAATTTCCAATACTGCAATTTCATGTGATAATAATTCTTTATGAACAGATCCATCACCTGTAAAGTCTTCAATAGAAAATCCATCGATTCCAATTAGTTCTATTTTATTTTCAACTAAGTACTTTGCACATTCTAAATTTATTCCAACAAAGTTTCTGTCAAAAACAGCTGGATGGTTTGAATTCTTTGTTTTAAGGAGAACTCTTGGATACTTAAAAGATTTTGGAAGCGATTTTTTGGTTACTAAATTATTTTCTAATTCATTATCAGGGATTTCAATAACATGGCAAGGTCCCATAAACTTTTTAAGATCTACTTGATCAATTGGTTTACCATCATTAAAATAATGATATGGAGCATCAACATGTGTTCCGGTATGAGCGGATAAAACTAATTTACTCACATTTGCGATATCTCCTTTATCAACACTATATACCAAGCTTTGTTCAAATGCAGGATCGCCTTCATATGGATCAATTCCGTTGAAAAGAGGAACAGAAATATCAATCATTTGGATAACTGTTATCCCCAAACAAAATTTTCTATGAGAATACTCAATTTCGAATCTCAATCCAAAAACTTCAAATAATCCATTGTTGCAGAAGTTTGTCCTAAATAATGCTATACTAATAGGTCTGGAGATTGATTATATATGTTGTTGGCCAAAATTTAGCAATAAAAGTGGAACATCTTTGAAAATCTGATGCCGATCACAACAGAAAAGATTCGTTCTGGTGGAAAGTTTACTGCATCGGTATATATTTATTAGATCACTAATAAAATGAATTGATTTGTCTATCGTTAACATTTAACAAGTCATCACAAATCTCGACCAATCTTTCATTGAAAAAATATCTCCTCAGAAAAAATTGGTGGGAACAAAACTATCAAAAAATATATGATATAGTGCGTAGAGAAAATATAGGTCGATAGAAGTCTTCAGAATTAAAAATCTGTCACTTTTATGATTTTACGTCATTATGAAACAAGAAGCAGCAATAAAGCAGCTGTGTGAACAAATTAGAGAAGAAAATAATGATTTAATGGAGTTGTCTTCCTATTTGTTCAACTTATCTAATGAAGATGTCTTAAATTTCGATACAATTTTCGAGAAAATCAGGAATATTTTCATCGAAAAGTACGAAATGGAGCCTGCTAATGTTCTAAAGCTTCTTTATGATGCAAATGTGTTCAATAATCATGCTGGTGAGCTTTATTGGATGTTATGCAAACTCTTATTAAAAGAATATCCAATTTCAATATACAAACTCAGAGTATTCAGAGGTATTCTTTGCGATAACTTCAATGAGTTATTCAACAAGGTGATCGTTAACAAATCAAAGTACTTAGCTCAAGATTCAGATACAATTCCAAGAGAGTTCAAGAGATTACAAAAAGAAGAGTTACACCGTATAGTCATGAATGATGATATTGTTAACTTCAAAGAGTATATCTTAGAACACAACTTTGACTCTAAAAAGCAATACAAATTGAATGATAACTACAAATCAGTCAGTTTACTCGAAGAATGTGCTTACTTTGGTTCTCCTTCTATATTCTACTTCCTCTTATACAATTGCAATTGCAAAATCACCGATATTTGCTTAGAGTTATCATTTATTGGAGGAAACGACGACATCATCAATGAATGTTGCAATGTCTTATCAGTAAATGATAGATGCCTTGAGAACGCCATCAGATCACACAACAATGTTCTTATTCCAAAGATGTTGGAATTCAACAATGTCCAAATCGATCCAGAATCAGTTATTGACTCAATGAACATCAGCATAATGCTCCAGCAGATTGAAGAGAATCCAATTAACATTATATACTACCTCCCAGGTTTTCCAATTCAAAAATTCTCTGCAAAAATTTTTGACATTGTAGCAATGAATTTTGACATAAATTCTGATATTTTATTTGTCAAATCATTGTATTACAACAATGTCAAATTGGCAGAACACTTATTGCCAAATGTAAAAGACATAGAGATATCAGATGACACAAATGGAAAGAAGGCAATTCATTATGCATCATATTTCAATCAGAAAGAGTTAGTTGAAAAACTCATCAAGAGAGGAGCGAATGTAAATTCACGAGATTCAACAGGAAGAACACCTCTCCATGATGCGGCGAGTACAAATGCAAGAGATTTAGCAGAGTTGTTACTCGACAATGGTGCTGATTTCAACATCGTCGATAACTTTTATGGTGCAAAACCATTGCATATCGCTGCAAACAAGAATTCGAAAGAAACAGCAGAGTTATTGATCAGAAAAGGATGTGATGTTGATACGAAAGATGACATCAGTATGTTGACACCACTACATTACACGATCGAATACAACTGCAAAGAGACAGCAAAGTTTTTGATCGAAGAAGGAGCAGATGTCAATGCGAAAGATTTCGAAGGAAACACAGCATTGTACAAATCGGCAGAACACGGAAAGACAGATATGGTTGAATTCTTCATCAAGAATGGTGCAGATTACAAAGCGAAGAATGATGATGGATCTTCACTTTTACATGCACTTTTGTCGATGAACAACAAGTCATCAGCAGAATATTTGATGACACTTGGATTAGATGTCAACGCGAAGAACTTATTAGGAAAAACTCCTCTCCACATTGCAGTTGAATCATTCGACAGACCATATGTCGAAATCTTATTGAAGTATGGTGCAGATGTTAATGGTAAAGATTTCAATGGAATCACACCTCTTCAAATTGCATCATGGAAAGGTGATGAAGAACTTGCTGACATTTTGATTTCACACGGAGCAACTTACGCATAATATTGACTCTGTGATTTTATATATATTTCTATTTTGTATTTATATTAATATTTATAAATCTATCTTTCTATCCTTTTAATTTTGTTTCCTTTTTCTGAAGTGTTACTATTTAAATAGTTTTTAACTGCATGATCATGATCAGTTATATGAGGATAAACACAATTAAAGACTTTGTTCATTTTCACTAAAGAAAATAGTGTTTGGAGAGAGAAAAAAAAATACGCAAATTTATGATTTTTTAATAGACATATTTACTGCTACAATAAATGAAGTTTTAAAAGATTTGTTAACAATATTTTTGATGTCTTTGATTTTTAATTTGCCTTTTTTAAATTTTAGATTTGAATCTTTTTTATTTTTTTCTAAATTAGTAGTAGGACATTGTTCTGTTGAATAATGAGATATAAATGAATCTAATGAATCATTTGAATCATAACTAATTGGATCATTTCTTACAGTTTGAGTTACATTGTTTTCATTAAAGTAACAATTATCAACAATATTTGGTTTTACATCAAATAAATAGTTTCCTTTATTTCCTATGAATGAACAACTTGAAAAATTAGTTGAATTTCTATAACTATAAATTATTCCATTATCACTTCCTGTATAATCATTGTTTAAATAATTACATTTTGTTACATTACATTTATTATTGAACGTTACAGCATAATGTGTAGATGATGTATTTGATGCTGTTGTGAATTTAATAATTCCTGTTCCTGTTGGATCTGAAATGGCATATGCAGCATAACAAGTAATTTTGTGAAAAGATGTATTAATATTACTTACTTGGATATCTCCATAGTAATGATAAAAAGAACCTCTGTATCCACTGCATTCTGTAAATGAACATTCAAAAGCATAACTTTTCTTGTAAGTGGTTTGAACTGACCAAATGTAATATCCGCATCCAGTTTTTTTACCTTTTGAAAGTAATAAACAAATATGAACTAAGACACAATCAGGATGAAGGATATAGAATGATCCACCATCTTCTGTGGAACTATTATTGTAAAATGTGCATGTTTCGAGTAATACTTTGCCGTATGGATTCGAAGTAATGGAAATTGCTGTTTTATTATAATGAAATGAAAATATTGCATGATGAATGTAATAATTTCCTTTATGTTCTGATATGGTTTCGTTCTCTGTTTTATTAATAGGCTCAATAGAGCCGTAATAATCAGAAAAACTTTGTTGAAGTTCCATAATGTGTTGCTGTGTGATTTATATTGCTCAATACGCATTTCTGAGGGTTGATTAATCTGAATAATACGGAAAATATTGTAAAATATCACTGAGATGAACTCAGGAAATCAATTTAATTTCACAACGGAAATTTTAAAAATCTTTCTCACTTCAAAATTATTTCCATTAAATTTTACGAAATTAGGTCAGGTATGAGGGGCTTCCAGGGGCTGCGCCCCTTCTAGCCCTAAGAAATTTTGCCCAAGACCCAAGAGGAGGACCGAACCCCAGCCGACCAGCCGGTGACAAAACCAAAACCGTTGTTATTTACATCATATTAATGATGTCACTTTTAAAAATGTCACTTTTTGTTTCACTTTTCACAAATTATATATGTTTTCATGCTTTGTCACTTTTCTGTCACTTTTCAGGTAAAAACATTTTTATTATTATATATAAATGAATTTTACAAAACCACCGTTACCGTTCTTTGGAAATAAGAGTAGATGTAAAGATATTATATTGAGAGAACTTAAGAAACTACCGAATGGTCTAACATTTGTAGATTTGTTCGGTGGAAGTTTCTATATATCCCATTTATGTCATACAATATTCCCAGACTCAAAGATTATATGCAATGACTTCGACAACTATATGGACCGTCTCAAACATATACCAGATACAAACAATATATTGAAAGAGTTAAAAGAAAAGATACCTATAGGTAAGATGGAACGTATACCATTAGATAACAAAAATATTGTGAGAGAGGTTTTGAAAAAAGCAGAATATATAGACTGGGATAGTATATCTGCTAGACTATTATATAGTGGTTCTATAAGAGTTCATGACATTGAAACACTTATGTCAAAAGTTTTATATCTTAACTATACAAATGTTTTCAAAGAGGACATAGAAAAATATATTGAGGGTATAGAGTTTGTGAGATGTCATTGGACAGAGTTGTATGAAAAATATAAAGACAAGGAAAATGTTTTCTTTATAGTGGACCCGCCGTTCTATAACACATGGGATTTCAATACCAAGTAGACTGGACTTTGAGAGACTCTTTAGAAACTTTAGACGTTTTACATAACCATCCATGCTTTTACTTTACATCCGATAAAAGTGGTTTGGAAACCGTTATGAGATGGTTAGAGGACATACATGACTATGAGTTTAGATATGACAAGATAGAATATGAGAGAGGTCCTATAAACCGGAGAAAGTGTCATAACAAAGAAATTTTATTAGTAAGTAAATGTGGTTTGAAATAGGACTACTTGTTTTAGGTTTTTTCCATTGTGTCATTTATTTATTTGACGTGGCAGAAAAGTACAGAGAATATGAAGATGAACCAATGCCTGCAAATGTTCAGCATATGTACTCGTAAGAGATATTTTTATCTAATATTAAATGGACGCACAGAACTTAGCGAATGCACAGCAACCTGGACAACCAAACCCAGAGAATATTCCAAATGAAGTTAGAATACAAACTGCAATGGCAAACTATGGTCAAGTGCCAACAGATGTACAAATGCAAACTGCCATGTCAAATGACGCTGCGTTAGGTTTGCCACCATGGTATGCAAATATGAGATGGAAAGAGTTTTATACAAACCCTGAAGTGGGATATAAACAACTTTATGCAGATGACGCGAACACAGGAGTTGACCCAGAATATGTTTTCTACCAGAGGAGAAACAGAATGTATGAGCTCCAGTTAAAGAATGCTATGGAACTCAACAGGAAACGTAAGAGACTAGGCGGACATTAGATTTTTACATATAGTAAAATGGGTTTCTTCAGTAGTATTGGAAACTTCTTCAGAAGAGTTGGAAGAGGTATATGGAATGGAATAAAAACCGTAGGAAGAGGAATTTGGAACGGTGTCAAAAATATTGGTAAAAGGGTAGGTCAGTTTGTTGGTATTATACCTAAAGACCCTGAACCAGAAGAACAAGCTCCTGTTATACAACAGCCTGAACCTGCACCACAGTCTAGTTGGCAACCAAATCCAACACCTCAACCGTATTAAAAAATTATATTTTTACCGTTCGATAGTAGTTGTATATGAAACTAAGTTCTAAGTAAAACGCATGGTATAATGGAATTATTCTTTTTTCTTCCATCTGTAGTAAACCATACTTGAAAGTCTGAAATACTTCCACTTGGTGGTTCGTATAACTTTGTAGGTTTTTCGTAAAAGTCATTTGCCAAGCATAAGAAAGAGTTTTGCGCACCAGAAAATGAAGCATGAACAATAATAGCAGCTGGGTCGAAAATATTTCATATGTTCCATTAGGGTTTTCGACTTCATAAAAGTCTGGGTGTACTGGATATGCTGCAGGCTGATTTAACATCCTCATAAATCTATACCATGCCAAGTTGTTATATTTTGTAGAAATATAAACGTTTTCTCCAAGGTCTTCTATTTTATTGATTTTAACAGTTGCATTTTTCCTGTCATAAATATATCGAGATGGTATTCTCCTTCGTCAATGTTATACTGGTTTGCATATTCGATATAGATATCGTTTATTTTTTCTTGAAAAGCTTGAAGAGTTGTTTCTAAGTTTACAAGCAAACTAACTTGTAAAGGTTTTCCCTGTTCAAATTTCTCATACGTACGTTTTTCTTTGTTATAGTATCGAACTTCAAAACCGACCGTAAATGGGAAACCATGTATGGCTTCTGAAATGAACTTCATTCTACGAAAGCCAATAGCTTTTGTGACAGATGGGTCTCTTAACCATCTTAATGGGTAGTCAAAACGATAGCCTTCATGCTTTACGGTCTCTGTCTCAAACTTTTGACCGACATTAGTAAAAAGTTCATCTAATGGTTTAGTTGTAGCAACTCTTGAATTTTCTTTTTTCTATTGAAAGCATATTTTATCTAGAATAAAAATGTCGAAAGATATTGCTTCCATAAGAGAAATACAACACAACCGACAACTCATTATGCAAGCTCTAAATAAGAACACAACAAACTTTTCAAACTATTCTAAGATATCTGAGTCATTGAAAGAAGGAAACTTAAAACTGACATTAAACCCTTTAACAGATGAGTTTCTATTTCAAGACAAGAAGAACAATACTGTCTGTATAAATCCAACAAAAGGAACTTTAAACGAGAAACCTATAAATGAACTTCTTTTGAAAGCAGATGTTGACAACAAAGCTGACAAAGAATATGTAGACGATGCAATAGCAAAAGAAGAAGAAAGAGCTAACAATGCTTATGCAACAAAAGAATACTCATCCTGAACTAGCAGACAAAACATATGTTGACAATAAAATGTCAAGTGAAGTGACAAGAGCTGAAAACGAATATTCTAAAAAGACTCATATACATTCTATATCTGAAATAACAGACTTAAACGTTAGCCTTGAAAAGAAAGCGGATAAGGAATATGTGGCTAGTAAGTTAGAGAAGAAAGCAGATAAGGAATATGTGGATGAAAAAGATAAAGAAATTATAGAAAGGGCTGAATGGTATCATGAATGGACATCGAAGATTTTAAAAACTAAAGCTGATACAGGATGGGTTTCAGGATGTTTAGACCTTAAAGCAGATAAAACTTATGTTAACGATGAGTTAGAGAAGAAAGCAAATAAGAACCATACACATACAAGTTTTACAACTGTTAGAGCAGACGACATAATACTGAACTTTGACCTTGGTTCAAGTGCACCTTTAGAGAATCGAGTACAAGCGTAAAAGATACACTAAACAGTTTAGATAACAGTTGCAGGAATATCGAAGATCATGCCAGAAACTTTGAAGCATATGAACTACCAGCAATGTTAGATAAAAAGGCTGACAAAACAGAGCTTCAAACATTAAAGACTGAAATACTTCAAACATTATATCTACAGGCTCTATTTATACGTCAATGAACTCTACCAGACCAGAAGTAGTACTTGGTTTTGGAACTTGGACTCAAATAGTCGACAGGTTTTTGTATTGTGCAAACTCTCAAAGGAAACAGGTGGAAGTAAAACGATTTCAGGTGAAAATTTACCTGCACACAGTCATACATAGATTTAAGTACATCTCAAGCAGGTTGGCATAAGCATAGATATTGGGATTGGTCAGCAATGACAAAAGGTAAAGGATATGATGTTAAAGACAACGTTAAGTTTGCTATAAATTGTTACTGGAGTAACACTGAGGGAGGAGGAAACCATACACATCGCGTTTCAGGATATACGCAAACAACGGGACAAAGTAAAGAATACATGCACCTTACATAACAGTTTACGCATGGTATAGAAATGCTTAGTCGTCATTTTCAACTTCTTTAGCATATTCGTCAGGAGTTGTCTTATATTTGTTAGGAACTGTCTTTGAAAGTATACACTTGAACTTTGACAAGTTTGAAACGAGGTCTGACAATAGTAGTTTTATCTTCTGCTTGCAGTGTGTACATTTTGCATGTTTGCCTAAAACTTCATAATATTCTCTTGTATACTTTTTCTATTTTTACGAACACGAATGTGAGTACCTGTCGGGTTCCCATTGTTGTCATAGTCAATAGTATTTTCATATGGGTCGCGTTTAGGTATTTCTATTTTACTTTGTCACCTTTCTGAAGTTTGAAGCCCATTCTTTTTGTTTGTCTCTTTTGACTAAATTATTAAATATATAGTCTTTCTCTAAGTCAGGGTTGTTTTTCATTTCTTCGGGGAGTGGTTTCCCAACCTTTTTGTTTACGGCTATTGTAAATATTTTAAAACTTGTCTCATCTTTGCCATGGAGAAGTGTCTATATTGTCGTCATATGACATTTCATTTGCTTCACCAATTGTGGTTGGTTTAAGTCTCTTAAATTTTTATACAACCGTCAATGACACCAAGAGCAGAATGGTTTTGGTCGACAATGAAATATTGGTTTCATTTTTGAACGCAGATAGTTTTTTACATCATCTGATTTGAAAGAACTTTCACAGTCAGATGTCAGTTTTGTTGGATGGTATTTGTCAACGAATATTGTCAAAGCAGTTTTCACATCTAAAATATTTTTGGACCATAATGGTATGGCTTCACAGTATCTTGTGTTTTGACCGACAAATATTAGCCAGTATGGTGGTCCATCTGTTCTAACTCTCGGAATGTTTTCCAAGATATCCATAAACCAAGCATTTGGTGTTGAACTAAAGATTTTTACCATGAGTGCTTTCTTTGTCGCTTTAGAAACATAGGGGTCCTTGTTTGGATTCGTCATTTTTTAACCCATAAGAAATGGGTTTATTTGGCGCATTAGCAGGAGTTGCATCCAGATTTTTGCCCGCAGTGGGAACAATAGCCAGAGGTGTATTTGGAGTTGGAAGGAAGATTTTGAGTACATTAGGTATACTTAAGAGAAAGACAACCTATTATACAATGTAAGAAGGTTGGGATGTAGCACGAGATGCAACAATCTTATTCCAAATCCTGAAACAAGAGGAAAAGTTCAAGGATGGATGGACAATGTAGGAAGACAAGCAGGAAACTATTATAACAAAGCAAATGACTACTATAACCAAGCAGGACACTATATGGACAAGGTGAAAGATTCTTTAACAGAGGATATAACATGCACAACAGTGGGTAAACAATAACCAACCTCAACGCCTCAAACGTGGGGAATGTAAAGTTTTTACTGGAGAAATGAACAATACAAGCATTGAGACAAATGGGTTCAAGATGGATTTGTCGACTTCCAGCAGTTACACCACGTGTTTGTCAAGTTCTTCCTATACCTCAGGAAGTTTTAGACCGACTTAAAAAAAACAACAACCAGTTGAAAAACAAACCAAACTAAAATTTTTTACTGAGATGAAATGACCGAAGAAGTTGAAACGGTAGATTTGACACACAAACAAAAAGTTCAGAACCATTGTCAAAACCTGTCAAAGAACTTACAGATGAAGAGAAAAATTCAATAATAGAAAGTGCCAGGTCTGGAAATACAAACCTAACTACAAAGTCACTTTTCATAAAATGGAACGGCTAGTATCTCAAAAAGAACAGACTCTCACAAATAAAATATTGAAGTCTGAAGGAGCTTTCGAGACAACAGATGGAAAAGTTTTACTTCACTGACCAACAGTTCATTATAGAACATCTCATTGACTTAGAGTCGAAATATTCTAAACTTTACAAACAACAAAAAAGTTGAAAGGAAAACAAAAACAAATGGCATATGATATTTATGAAGATGTTGACGACACAACTGTTCCTGCAAGTGAAGTAAAGTCAGAGAAACCGAAAAGTGACGAAAAACCGATAGAAGAAGAAAAACCAAAAACTGAAGATAAACAAACCAAAAGTTTAGTTTGGAAACTAAACCAAGTCAACCTTCATTAGCTGGTATGGGTTGGCGTCAAAGACTTATGGCAGCAGGCGGTTATGTAAAGTAAAGAAAAAAATATTTTTTTATTTTTATAAAAATGCCCCCATATAGATGGATAGAAAGTCTGCTAGAATAAAAGCAGAGTTGCAAAGATATGGTTGGAGAGTTCGAAGAATTTTAAATATAGGAAGGGAAGACCCTAAAAAGTCTATGACAAACTGGCTGGTCTTCGCTACGAAATGGATTTGGAAACAGCACGTGCAAATTATCCAAACAGACTAGAGAGGTTAGAAGAAGAACGTCTTATGGACATGCCTTTCGAATGTTAGTGAACCTCAAGTTGAAGGAAACTTGTTTGTTAGATGAGAAATATGAAATTCACTGTTGTGAGTCATTTGAAGTCAGAAACAAAAAGACAAAAAGAGTTTTAAGCGATGGGAAGCGAAATGACGGATATGCTATTATGAAGATGGGTGGAAAACACTATCTTAAACATGTTGTCATTGCACTCATTTTATACTGAATCCTAACAATTTACCTTTTGTAGACCATATAAACCATATAAGAAACGACAATAGACTTGAAAACTTACGTTGGGTCACTCGTTCTGAAAACAATAAGAACAAAGGCAAATTTGGAGATATTGTATTCGAATTTGTCGACGAACTAGAAGATGAAACAATTGAAATTACAGACTATGGCAAGCATACGTTTGAGTTTTACTACTATAGCGAAGAACAAGACTCTTTCTACTTTTTACCGGCGTAAACTATAGGAAATTACAAGTATATTTTACTAAGGCGGGCTATGCTTATGTAAACACTAGAGATACAGATGGAAAATACGTTCAAATACTTCTTAACAAATTCAAGAAGCTATATGGCATACCATTTTAAAACAATTATTTTACATATATTAAATGCTTCAGGTTGAAAACAAAGAACAAAAGTAGCAGATACAAAACCGTTAGACTATATCTTTACAAATGCTGGTAGGACTATTTCAGATGAAGAAATTTCATCCCGAGCATACAGGTTTGACTATCCAATTCGTTGGCTTCAAAGTCTTCAGATGCAAAGCAATAGCATTTAGAAGAGTTTTGTTTTCAAATAGAACTAACGCATTTATGTTCGCAGTATATTTTCATGGGCAGTATAAAGGTTCTGATGGTCTAATAGACAAATTTGACGAAATGAGAATCTTTACAGTTCGTTCAGACGAAAGTCTTGAGAAAACTCTAAATGACTTTCAAACTCAAATGAACAAATATTATTGGGAATTTCAAGAAAAATACGACTCTTTACTAAATGGAACATACTATCTGAAACTAGAATATGACAAGATGAACTCCACCGTTTCATTTCAAAAGATTGAAATTAACCCTCCAAGAGATACAGAGTTTTTTATTTTGGAAAGTAGACAAACGTTCTTGGGCACAATTTCTTCGGTTACTAAACCAGAACGAACCATTACCACCAGATGGTCCATTTAAATTTATACTTCCACCAGCAGATTTGACAGTTTATAGAAACGTGTTTGACCCTCAAAATGTTATGTGTCATGCAAGTTTCAGTTCAAGCAACAATAGTTTTCTATGTATTGGTAAGGACCTTTATGACTTTGCTTCTAAATTCTACGAACCACCTCTAGTAACAGTTTCTCTGACTTTCAAGTTTGGTTCACAACAAATGGTGTGCACATATTATTCCATTGTACTATGACTTTTATCTCGAATTGTCTTTCATATATAACTACGGAAAAGTGCTGAAAAAGTATTGAAAAAATAATGTTTATGTTAGCATGTTAGATCTACACGTTTTCTACCACTTTTCTAACATCGTAGAAAACTCATGAAACAATTTATTTTTGACACTTTCACAAAAAAAACATAAAAAAATGTTTTTACTCTAAACGTTAAGGTTTACTGAACTGGTTGGATGTCGCCTTCACAGGTTATGTAGAATGGTTGACCAGAGAAGTGGAACAGTGCTCTGAGAATTTGTATAATTCGTGGAATTGGACTCTCTCTGTTTGGAAGTAGTATCCAAGGACGCTTGGCAAAGAACTTTATAATGGCTTCCTTCTTTGCTTGCTTTATGTCGTCGTAGGCTGTCCCGTCTGGTACCTCAATTGGAATTCCAGTCGAAGTCTCGAGCTGAAGTGTAGACCTTCCAGAAATACTGGTGAACTTGACCTTGGGCTTCATGACCTTGCGCAAGTAGTCTTTTACGCAGTCGTTAATTTCAATTAGGTAAATTGCCTCGTCAAATCCTTCTGGCATTCCGAGTCCTTCCATCCGACAGGAAAATATTTTCCCGACAACTGGAAAAAATTTTCCGGACAAAGGGAAAAATTTTTCCCGACGACAGGAAGAACTCTTCCAGTTGTCCGTCCGTAAACCATTCAAATTTTCGAAAATTGAGAACTTTTTGGTCGAACTTCAGAAAAAGTTTTTCTAGGGTTGTTAAAAATATCAAAAATTAGCGTTTTGAAGACACCATGGTGTCTTATAATTTTCCCTTCCTTATTGGCGTGTAGAAATAAATGCGCCAATAGATTGAAGAAGAAGAATTGTTTTTCTCTTAATGAACTTTAATCCTTTTGATATAAGAATATTAAAAACATTAATATAATTTCGATTTCGGAAATTAAATTTCCAAATTTTTTGTCGATTTCGGAAATAACAGGATCCCGCATCCAACACGCAACAACAAAACACAAAACACACTTTTTGGTTCTTTCATCGTTTTAATCGTAATTTATGTCATACATGATTTGGATAAATTTTACAAAAATAGAACCTATATTATATTCTTTTCAAAGATTCTTGCAAATCATCAAAAATAATTGTATTTTAAAAAACGATCAAATTATCCTTTCATTATTTTAAACTTAAATTAGTTTTTATGATTGACTAAAGCAATCATATTTATTCATCATTAAATAAACAAAAAAATAATATTTGAGAGTTATTTCAAAAAAACACATTGAATTTATTAATTTGTCTCAATTTCAGTATTATAAATTTTTATAATTTCAATATTTTGAAATACACTTTTTAATATTTCAATATTTATGATATTTCAATGTATTAAGTGGTCTCAAATTGAGCTTCTCAAATATAAGTTGGCCTATTCAAATAATAAAATTAAATAATATTTAAAATAATAAATAAAAGTGATTGAGGTCATAGCAAAACGACTGTTTCAGTCATTAATTCTTAAAAATAAAAAGGGTAAAAACTAAATACAATGGGTAAAATTCAATAGTGTCTGTGCTATCGTTCAATTTGAAGGTGTCTTTTGAAACCGCAAGACACATTGAATTTTTGAATAGTGTATTATGGTTTGACAGACACCAATGAAAAAAATAAAATGATATTTATTTTAAATATATAAGATCCTTATATAAAATATAAATATTTTATCGTTTTATTTTCTTGTTTTAGAAATGTTTTTTATTGAAAAATCAATAAAACTAACTCCAAAATAAAATTTTTGATTTAAAGACACTATGATGACACCAGGCAAATCTTCCAAGACACCTATCGTCGGGAATCTAACAACCCTAAGTTTTTCCTTCCGACAGGAAAAAATTTTCCATCCGACAGGAAAAGTTTTTCCTTCCGACAGGACACAAACGGATGTCCGACGTTCCACTAACCGAGTCCATTCCCAAACCAGAGGAACCTAAAGCACCAGCCCCTGCACCTCAGTTCCAGCAAGTACCTCCGAATTTCTACCAATTTCCACCTCAAGGTTACTACCCACCCCAGCAATTCCAATCTCAGTCCAAATCGAAGAGAGACCAAGACTTCGAAGAAGGTCTGAACCGTTTACGCAAAGAGTATGCCACAGCTCCAATTGAGAGAAAGTTGTTCCCGGACCAAAAATATAATTTAGGTGAAGAGGTGAGATCTCACCTGTTTTTTCACCTCTTTTTTCACCCTCTTGAATTTTCATGAATTTCCTTAAGATAGAAAAAATAAAGTTAGTTTTATTTCATTTATTTTGTATAAAAGACATGATTTCAGGGATTTTTTTGACGAAGTGTCAGCCTTCACTTCGTCAAAAAATAACAGTTATATAATGAAAAAGTGTCATTTTTTTGTATTTGACGAGAATGTCGGGTAGATGGTGAGATCTCACCTCTTTTTTCACCTCTTTTTTCACCTCGTGAATTTTCATGAATTTTCCCGAAATAAAAAATAAAGTTAGTTTTATTTTGTATGTAAAGACATGATTTCAGGGATTTTTTGACGAAGTGTAAACCTTCACTTCGTCAAAAAATAACAGTTATCTAATGAAAAAGTGTCATTTTTTTCATTTGACGAGAATGTCGGGTAGATGGTTAGATCTAACCTCATTTCTAACCTCATTTCTACCCTCTTGAATTTGTCAAGACTTCTTCGTAAATGTTTTGTCAAGACTTCTTCGTAAATGTTTTGTCAAGACTTCTTCGTAAATGTTTTGTCAAGACTTCTTCGTACATGCTTTGTCAAGACTTCTTCGTAAATGTTTTGTCAAGACTTCATCGTAATGAGTGTAAAGGACCCAAAAATAAAGTTTATGTTAGAATGTTAGATCTAACACGTTTTCTAACACGTTTTCTAACCTCATGAATTTTCATGAATTTCCTTAAGATAGAAAAAATAAAGTTAGTTTTATTTTGTATTTTTTTGTATAAAAGATATGATTTCAGGGATTTTTTTGACGAAGTGTAAACCTTCCCTTCGTCAAAAAATAACAGTTATCTAATGAAAAAGTGTCATTTTTTGTATTTTTTTGTATAAAAGATATGATTTCAGGGATTTTTTTGACGAAGTGTAAACCTTCACTTCGTCAAAAAATAACAGTTATCTAATGAAAAAGTGTCATTTTTTGTATTTGACGAGAATGTCGGGTAGATGGTTAGATCTAACACGTTTTCTAACATGGTCTAAAACTCTCGAAAATCATGAAATTTACACCAAAAATAAAGTTTATGTTAGAATGTTAGATCTAACACGTTTTCTAACACGTTTTCTAACCTCATTTCTACCCTCTTGAATTTTCATGACTTCTTCGTAAATGTTTTGTCATGACTTCTTCGTAAATGTTTTGTCATGACTTCTTCGTAAATGTTTTGTCAAGACTTCTTCGTAAATGTTTTGTCAAGACTTCATCGTAATGAGTGTAAAGGACCCAAAAATAATGTTTAGGTGAAGAGGTGAGATCTCACCTGTTTTTTCACCTCTTTTTTCACCTCTTGAATTTTCATGAATTTTCCCGAAATAAAAAATAAAGTTAGTTTTATTTTATTTATTTTTTTTATTTTGTATAAAAGATATGATTTCAACAATAGGTTCTACAACAATTCAAACAACAGCACCAAACTCGTTAGTCATGAATCCTACGTCAATGTTAGTAGAAATGAAAAGCTTCATTCCTTCTTCATATACTTTTGAAACAGAAATCCAGAAGATAAAGCAAGAACTTTTAACAAGTAATTTAGACTGTAGTGCGAAAGATGAAACAAATGAACAGTATCTTTATGAAATGCAGGACCTCATCGACCATTTGCCTAAACTACCTGAAATCCAACAACAAAAACTCACTATTCCTGAATTCGATGAAATAGAAGTGAAACCAACTGACTCAGTAGAAATAAAGAAGTTCATACGAAAGGTAAATTATGAGTTTCTAGGATTTCATTGCAACCATAAGGTTATGGACAAAGATTGCGACATGGTATATAAGAATGTTTCTGACATATATAAATCTGAAGAATTTAAGACCTACGACAACTTTGTTTCGTTAGTTGCTGAATGTGTTTGGGAAATAAGAGATAAAGATAGAAGAGGTAAGGTATGGAATGAACAGATAAGACCCGCTATGTTTGAGATGAAGAGAGCAATTGACGCTTTAGTTGTTTTAGCTGGTTTTATTTCAATGTATAACGCAAAAATGAACCCGCAATGTTCTAAATGTAAAGCGGCAATGAGGAAATATAACTACTCCGTCAAAGAGATAGAAAGAATGAGAAACGACTATGCTGACTTAAAGAAAGAAGCAGAGAAACCAGCAGAAGATAAAATGGACATGTTAGAATTTCTGAACAAAAACTATCCAACAGCTGACGATTTCCTATTATCTGACGTCAAGAAGAAGTATAAAGAAACTTTCGGCATTGTTAAAACATTCGATGTACTAAAAGAAGAAATAGAAGCTACAAAACTGTTTAGGATTTCAAATATACATCGTACAATTCATGTAAAACGGTTGTGAAAAAAAGAGGTGAAAAAACAGGTGAAAAAACGGGTGAGATCTCACCTCTTCACCTAAACATTATTTTTACTGAATTCAGCACAAATTTCATGAGTTTTGTGTGTTTTAGACCATGTTAGAAAACAGGTTAGAAAACGTGTTAGATCTAACATGCTAACATAAAATATATTTTTTCTATCTTAAGGAAATTCACGAAAATTCATGAGTTTTGTGTGTTTTAGACCATGTTAGAAAAGAGGTGAGAAAACGGGTGAGATCTCACCTCTTCACCTAAAATATATTTTTGCTGAATTCAGCACAAAATTCTGAGTAAAATGGCATATGGCATGTGTCAAACCGTTGAGTTTTCACAAAATTCCAAAAATAACGTTTACCATGTAAAACGCTTATGTTAGAAAAAATGTTATTTTCTAATATTCTAACATAAACATTATTTTTGAGGAAAAAAATGAAGGTTCTATACGGTTTCTAACCGTTAACAAGCTTGCCTTTTACATTCTGCCTGAGGAAGTCTTTAACAAGCTCGTTAATTTCAATTAGGTAAATTGCCTCGTCGGTAGGTTCGACTTCGACCATTGCTACTGACATTAGCAGTACTTTTACTGACAGTAGCAGTATTTTTACTGACAGTAGCAGTACTTTTACTGACAGTAGCAGTACTTTTACTGACAGTAGCAGAGATTTTTACTGACAGTAGCAGTACTTTATCGTCGAAAACCCTCTCAAATTTTCCTTTTTACTGACATTAGCAGTACTTTTACTGACAGTAGCAGTACTTTTACTGACAGTAGCAGTACTTTTACTGACAGTAGCAGAGATTTTTATCGTCCAACTTTACAAATGTAAACTTATATCGTTCTATTTTCTTCACTAGGGTCTAACACCAAAGTAACCTATGTACATGAAATTTCACTGCATAAAAGGGAAAAAACCTGCGCGAATCAGGATTTGAACCGAGGTCTTCGACGCCTTTAACGAGGTAGCCCATACCACTGAGCTATAAGCCGCTTGCATATTTTTAAGTAAAATATAGTATATTTGTCATACCGTGAAGGATGACCAAACTTAAAAAAAATAAAGTTAGTTTTTTATAAAATATTTTTTTATTTTGTATGTAAAGACAGATATGTCAACAACAGAGAACACAACAACAGTTATAGTCCATGAAGCTATAAATGAAGAATATGAGTACATACAGTTTAACAAACAACTCCGTCTCATTCGTTCAGTCAAAGATGACATGTACCAAATGCAAAGTATTTTGACAGCATGTTTTGCTCCAGATACTAAGAAACCACAAGACTGGTTTAGGAACCAAAGCACACAAGAACTTTTGAGCGAAGCACAGCGAGACATACTTTTTTCTGAAAACAGTGAAGAACAGCGAGTAAGTAAAAAACCGCAGTCGCCAAAACTCTATGAAAATTGTGAAGAACAGCGAGTAAGTAAAAAACCGCAGTCGCCAAAACTCTATGAAAACAGTGAAGAACAGCGAGTAAGTAAAAAACCCCAGTCGCCAAAACTCTATGAAAATCGTGAAAAATTGCCAAACGGTTTGAGAGGATATTATGTACATAGACTTCTTGTAAATGCTGTTGCAATGTGGGCTTCGCCTCGTTATGCTTGGTATATTTACAGACTTCTTGACGAAATTCATAGACAAGAACGTGAAGAGATGGAAAACAAGCTTGAAGCAAAAGACAAAAGCATTCAGAAAAGAATACCACGTTCGGTACCAAAAGGTAAGGAAAAGAACTATAAGTATATGATTTATACTGAAGAGATGGAAAATGAAGAAGATAAAGATATGGTTATGTTGCATTTAGTCAGAAGAAACAACAAAAGCTTTTACGACCTTGCTAAGATTTACAAATCTGACAGAAATTGGTTCTATCGCGAAAACTTACCGATTTCAATGACCCCAAATGAAGATGTGAAACAAATAGTTCAAGATACGTTACCTCAAACACACTATGATATGAAAGGTTGTACAATACTTACCTTCAAAGAAGATTTGCCATTGTTAAAGGAAAAAATAACAGAGTATTTTGACAACTTCAAACAAGTAGAGTAAATTGCACTCTTTATTTTTACGCTTGACTTCAGATGGCTCAAGTAGCTCAATTAGGTAAATTGCCTCGTCAAATCCTTCTGGCATTCCGAGTCCTTCCATCCGACAGGAAAAATTTTTCCTTCCGACAGGAAAAAATTTTCATTCCGACAGGAAGAACTCTTCCATCCGACAGGAAAAAATTTTCCTTCCGACAGGAAAAATTTTTCCATCCGACAGGAAAAATTTTTCCAGTTGTCCGTCCGTAAACCATTCAAATTTTCGAAAATTGAGAACTTTTTGGTCGAACTTCAGAAAAAGTTTTTCCTTCCGACAGAAAAAGTTTTTCCTTCCGACAGAAAAAGTTCTTCCTTCCGACAGGAAAAATTTTTCCTTCCGACAGGACACAAACGGATGACTGACGTTCCTCTTCCTGAATGCCTTCCAAAGCCAGAAGAACCGACAGCCCCAGCACCACAACAGACTTACTAAGACTAAACACTTACATTTTTCAAGCTTGACTTTTTACAATTTGAACTTTGTTTGCGTAGATATGAATTCTGAAAGAAGTATGAGGGTCTTGTATGACTTTGTACTTCTCCCATAGTTCATGTCTGTCAAACTTACCTGCCATGGACTCTTTCATAA